ACACAATTGATGTATGTATGGATTGTGATAAGAGTTGTATGAGTCCCCCCAAAAATGATTTAAAAAATTTACCTTAGTCCTGAAAGTGACATCTTTGTCTGTGAACACATTAAAGAGGTCTCGTTTGAAAAAGATTCGATCAATGCAACATGTCAATTGATTTTTCTTACTGCTGTTTCTATGGGTGCTAATAATGGAGTCAAGTAAAATGAAATTCTTGGCAACCACAATTTTTTCTCCATTTCCCATAATTTTGTCTATTGGTCCAGTTGTGAGGGGTTTTGTTTTTTTTACATTGAAGGGTAATTCATACAGCAGGCAATCTTTGATCTGCATGAACAATTGCCTTAAGTTTTCTGGCTTTCAGCAAACAAAGTTGTGTAATGTGCATATTTCAGGGTGTAAATGAGCCTTCATTCAATCCTAATGCTGCACTCTTCTTAATATAGTTCACTTTCTCAGGTTATTTGCTCAGCAAACAAATTGAATAAGTGTGGTAGAAGAATCCAACTCTAATGCCCTTCTCTCCAGATTTTACAATATGCAGGATCCCCTTGGTCCATGTGCAGGCTCTGCATGAGTACAATGGAGGGTTTTGAAATTATAATTCCTTCAGTGCAACCCATAGTTTTAATGAACCACCCAGTTGAATGTGTTTGCATAGTCAATATAACACAAGTAAGCTAGTGTACTATTCTTTGCTTTCAGCCAATATCCATCTCATGTCAACAATGTTATCCTTCATTTGCTGTCTTCCTATGTGTGGATTGTGATAAGAGTTGTATGAGCCCCTAATAAAACAATAAAAAAAAAAGAGGAAAAACAAGAGACTTCTCTCTGCCTTTTCAACCTTCCTGCTCTGGGACTCTGCGACTGTCTTCAGGGGTGGCCCTGGGTGGCCTGACCAACGGTGAATGCTGTCCAGGTCCTGCCGTATTGCCACTGACCTTGAATCCACCCAACTCTGACCCACCGGCCTGTGGATTCCTGCATTCCACGTCACCTTTCTGCACCAGCAGCCTACAGCTGATGGGACCTCTCTAGCAACAGACCCACGGACTTAAAGCAAACTAGACTGGGATGTCGTCTTCAGGTAAGATTATGTCTTAATAGAAAGCTCTTTCTTATACATATTGGAGTGTCACTGCACAATGCAATTAAAGTTTACCTTCGTCCTTGCCGGCGTGCAATAGGGAACCAGTGGAGAGGTCTGAGGAACTGGCCCCAATCCCAACTGTGTGGACACCTGCCCCTCCCCACAGAATTCACTTCAGAGGACAGCACTGAAGCTGCAGCCCAGGGAGAGGGACATGTCTGATCAGAGCACCCAGGAGCAAATGAAGGGGGAGAAGAGAGAATGGAGCACATCCTGACCCACCAAGCCTTGACGACGATATTCCTGCTCAGAGAAGCCAACCCACAGAGAAGACCATATGGCTGGCCCCACTATGAGACACGACATCCCTCACTGACCCATAGCCCTACAGGGGACAACA